GATTAAACAAATGCTTTTTCCCATTAAAAGGTGGTCCAGGAGTACGAAAGGGCTGTTATATTCCGATTGGGACGGCTATGTATGTCATAATCACATCTAGAACTTTATCAATTAAATAATCAAGCTAATTATAACATTAATCCATGTATGATTTAGTGAAAGGCGGCGCTAAAGGGCCTGGATTATTTTTCATAATACCCTGTATTGACAACTATCGATGCGTTGATCTCAGGTATTGATTACGACTTATTACACATATTTGTGGTCAAAAATCCTAACGATATCTTAATCCCTGTCCACTCGTCGGGTGCGAAGAACCGTCTCATTCAATGTTCCGCCACAAGAGATCCTATCGAAAGACTCGGTGACCGTCAAAGTGGATGCCGTTGTCTACTATCGCATCTCCAACGCGACGGTCGCCGTCTGTAACGTCGAGGACTACTCCATATCCACGCGTCTGTTGGCCGCCACCTCTTTGCGCAACATTTTGGGCACAAAGAACTTGTCGGACATACTGGCGGACAGGGAGTCCATATCGCATACACTGCAGTCCACCCTCGACGAGGCCACCAACCCGTGGGGCGTCAAAGTCGAAAGGGTCGAGATGTAGGCGCGCTCTCGTTCACCACACTCTCAATGAACACCTAAAATGCTAATCATTTTTGTGTTTAATTTTATAGCAAAGACGTCGGACTTCCCGTACAGTTGCAGAGGGCTATGGCGGCTGAGGCCGAGGCGACCCGGGATGCGAGGGCTAAGGTTTGTGCATATATTGTGTGATATACTGTACGGTATTAATGGATGTATTGGTGGACCCAATCGACAGGTGATCGCAGCCGAAGGCGAACAAAAGGCTTCGCGAGCCCTGAAAGAGGCGGCGGAAGTGATCAGCGAATCTCCGGCCGCTTTACAGCTCCGGTATCTCCAGACACTCAACTCGATCGCCGCCGAGAAGAACTCGACGATTGTCTTTCCGGTCAGTTATCTTACATTTGAAAGTTTTTTGTCCACTTTTGACTGATTTATCAATTGTGTTATCATTTATTAGATACCAATGGAGCTGTTCCGTGGTTTCATACAAACCGGGCCCACACACACACCACCCGCCCCTCCAGTCTAACGCTACCCAAATCGAGTCAATCCAAATATATTTGCTTTTTATATAACTTACAGTTATATTTAACAATGACAATTTTGTTTTTTGTATGACAAGTATCACAATATTTTAGTGTATAACTGATTTCCCATTGGAATACTTTTTACTAATTACGGTATCATTACTTTTACAGTTAATTGATCCTGATTTTGATTTCTATTATCGTAAATATTATGTTTATTTTTTACGTCAACTATACATTACATAAGATTTCTTATTTTATTGATTATTACACATAATTTCTTATATGACTTCCGATTATATGCTACATATTTGTAAAATATATACATGGATACAAAGCGCAAACAATTTTTGACTGTTAAGATATTTTTGAATTCATAAATCAATGTTTTAATGCAAATACTGTTTGGTATATAGAAGTCAGAAATACAAATTCAAACATTTTTTATTATAATAAATCAAACACACGATTCCGTTTTCACTCATATATTACTGTAAATCTCTGATTAAAAAGTGTTAAAAATATTATGTTATTTATTTATTTATTTATACCGGTATATGCCTTGTTTGGAAAGATTTTTGTGGGTTATTTATAGTATCTCGAATATAATTATTGGTTATTAATATTTATGTGAAAAATCTAGACAATTCTGCAATATGAAGTATATCTTGATAACTGCAATAATATTGTTCGTATAGTACGATAGTTATAATTTCTAATTTTAACTTTTTATTTGATTTTAATTACAAGTGTTTTATAAGAAATATTTTGTATGCAATAGATATACGATATGAATAAAAGGGTTATATGAGACATGGACATTTATAGTACCGGTAGTCTTTTCAATAATTGTTGGCATGTATATAAAAATTAATCATTTCTATACAATTAGTATGTGAATCATTGCATTTAGGTATTCATATTATTTTTGTAAAAAAATGATTTTGAAATTCCTATTCTCGTATGTTTTGCAAACAAGTTGTTATTTTGTACAAGTTTCAATGCAATACTAAATGAATGTAATGGTAGTGCACCACAGTTTGTAATACAAACTTTGTATTCAACATTTTCATTTCCGTACTATTAATATGGTTTGAACTACCAGTCGATTATAATCAGAAAAATATTTTTAATTAAATGAATACATGAAAGCAATTTGCGATCAAATAAATGAAATTCCTGTTTTTATATTGAATGTGAATGCATTGCATAACTTTATTTTAAAATGTATAAAGTTTACATTATATATTATACAATCAATGCACTATTTGTGATTCAAAAAATATTCTACATTTATGCTAAAAATAGTCACTTGTTTACAATGTTCAGTGTACAGTATAACTCTTAAATTTTGATTCAACAGTCTATTTATTTTGTTTTAAATAAAAACATACAATTCTATTGATTCTGTTATAAACTACAGAATCTGTAGTACAGTACACATCTCACCACTAATGAGACAGAGTTTGAAATTGAAATATGAAATCAATTGATAATTCAACAGTAGTTTTAGAAATACATTAAAATAATTATTATATTAGAAATTATACACAGGTTATAATTCATAATCCAAACACAGACACACAACAGGTATATATGAATTTCCTTAAATGCTATAAGTTATAACTGATAAAATATATTACAGATATACAATAAAATACAATAATATTTTGCCAATATACATTTACTCATATTATTTTTACTGTATAGAGATTATTATTAGAGATTTTATCATACAAACACTTGTTAAATTGTGTTTATAAAATTATGTTGTTATATTTTTAAAATCTGTATTTAATTTATATGTTGAAAATTTAATGTTTGAAACAATATAAGAATTTGGTTTTAATAAATTTATTTAATTTATAAAATAAAATATTGTATTAAAGTATAAACATAATAACATAATAATTATCTTGTATATAACTGTCAACGTCCTTGGATAATTTAATTATACTGGAAAAAAACACATTGAATTAAAACATAAGTAACATTGATCATTAACATAGTTGAAGTTATTGTATGATATATAAAATTGTACATATATACACTGTATTTTATATAAATTGTATATTATATATTGTAGTACCTATTATTTACTAAATAATTCCCAGTATATCTTATTGTACTGTATATGACATATTGTAACATAGTGATAATTTTGTTTTCTATGAGTGAATCATTTACTAGATTCTGTGCACTAAATGTTGTTCATTTATATTATTATAATCTAATATTGATTTTAGGACAATTGTAGTGCAACGTTACTTACATAGCTGTGAAGTTTAATTAATTTATTTAGATTATTTTACAATTTGTGGATTTTAATAATATTTAATGGATAACTACACTGTGGTTGCTTCAGTATGTCTGAGTGCGAATTAATTAAATATTGTTTAATTTGCAATGAAGAGGCTCAATGTATAAATCAAATTATGATATTATAGTATATAAATTTTGTTAAAATATATTTGTCTTATTAGGCTATAATTTCGGTGCCCTTACGTGTCAACCGTGTAAGGCATTCTTTAGGAGGAATGCCTACAAAATTGATGTAAATAATAAGATCCATATTAAATCCAGAAATTTTGTTAAGATTCTTACTATTTTCAGCAATTAATTTGTAAATCCGGTGATAATTGTCGCACAAATTTCTTAAATCGCAAAAATTGCAAGAAATGTCGGCTTATTAAGTGTATTTCAATGGGAATGAGAAAGGTCATTCTTGATTATTGATTTGTGTTTTGCAATTTATATTAAATTTTAATATATTTTTGGTTATTACTTATTATTATTAGGAATGGATTCTAAACGCAAAGGAAAGAGAGGAAAGGCAACAGAAAGTCGAGAAGAACCGCACGAAACTGCGGGAACGGGAGGTTAAAAAATCGCTTCAGTTGTACCATAAGTGGGAACCATCACCAGAAATCTCATCCATGTCCACAAACTCAGGACCAAACACTTGTGACACCACTAGTTATAAAAAAGACAATTATATTTATGTAGACAGAG